AAAAGGACACCAGCTGCTGTTCAGGGAGCATCACATAGAGGCAACAGGTAAAGCCACAGAACACGTGGTAACATATAGATTAACAGAAATGGGCTGAGTATAAGAGCAACAGTTAGACAATGGTAGGCCTGAGCTAATGGCTGAGCAATTTAAATAATATAAGAGTCGGTGTGTTTATTTTATAAGTGGGCTCCGGGACTGGCGAGGCTTGGCAGGAACTGGAGAGAAATTCTCCAGCTACACCTGCTACTGCCAGGAACTAAACAGAACAAAAGCTCTTCCTGCACCAAACTTTGAGGCCTCACCACAAAGAGTTTCCACATCTGTCTATCCTAGGATGTCAGCAGGTTAGAGACCAAAGCTGATCCATCTGTTGCCCCATCCAACTTGTTGGACTCACCTCTGTGGCCACGAGACACAATCACAGATGGTACCCCAAACATCACATCCCCAATCAACTCTTGGAGCATGGCTCTGTTTCTGACTGGGTCATCTGTGTCTATTGAATACTTCTTCATGGCAGCTGGAATCCTGTCCTCTGGTATGTTCTGAAATGGATGAACAAAGTGACCATCTCCAACTGAGCAGTGTGGCTTATCTAGCCAATTGAGAAGGCTTCATTGATTTCAAGCTTTCTGTGCCCTGTACAAATCCCTCCTGGGGTGATAAAATCAGAAAGTTGGAAACATGGGTTCAGAACCCAAGTGAGTCTTTTTCTGGTGAGACTGAAGTGACAATCACAGACCCTGTATGGGTCTGAGCTAGGTCCTCTGCATATGTTATGGTTGTTTAGCTTGAGGTTCTTGTGGGACTCCTAACGGTGGGAGTGTGGGTGTCTCTGACTCTTTCACCTGCTCTTGGGACCCTTTTCCTCCTATTGGGTTGCCTTGTACAGCCTTGATATGAGGGTTTGTGCCTGGTCTTTTGTAACTTGTTATGCTATGTTTACTTGAAATCCCTGTTAAGGATGAGGCCTGATCTTTTCTTGAAGGGAAATGGAAGAAGAGTAGATCTGGTGGTGGGTGGGGGGCGGGGGAGCGGTGCTGGGAAGAGTGGAGTGAGGGAAAACTGTAGTCAGGATGTAATGTATGGGAGAAGAATAAAAAAAGAAAAAGAAAAAGAAATGGTCGGTAATTCGGGCCAGTCCCCAGCCAGTTACCACGGATCATATGATGCTTACAAAGAAATAAGCAGACTTCGTCAGGAGTGATGTGACCATCTTCTTGTCCAGTTTTACGTCAGTAGGTGGAAATTCCATTAGCTGTTTTAAAAACATAGTTAAGTATTTGTGAATCCTCAGGAATGAACAAGAGACAACCACCCTGCCCACTGTGGAATGAAGACTCTAGCTCTCCCATGAGTTTAACAAAAATCAATAAAACAAGTGGATTTGTATATGGAAACTGAAGGAATGAGGTAAAGGTGCTTACATACTTACTATCAGGCTAGGGGAATTGCATTCCCCTAGGCAGTGGGGACATTTAGACAAGGGTAAAGTAGAAGCAAGAAGCTGAAGGATAGAGGAACAGGTTCGGTCCTCACAGACCCTGCCAACTGAGGAAGTCACCATTATACCATTATGGCTAGGTTCTTTGATGACATCTGAAATCCCCCAGTGAGAGATGCAAAACTCTCAGCATGTACTGACCCCATCAAGAACTCCTTTCTTAGAGCCCCGACTCCAGCACTGTTTCAGCAACTTAAGGCACTGAGCCCTCCTATGGCTGCCTGAGAAAGCCCAATGCTTTCAAGCAAAAATTACACTTTCTCCAGGGACAGCCCACTGATGGGAAGACTCCCCCTGCCACCTCTCTTGTATAAGTCACTATAAAGTGGCAATTCTATCCCATCATACTGAAAACATCCCCGGCCTTGGTGTCAGGGATTTGAGTCCAGGTCATGTTTAATGTTTCCTTCCCTGTTTCTATATTCCTGGGTAAAACCTGCCCTGTTTTAACCACTGTTGGGGAGTTCTGCAATTGCTAAAGAAGTAAACATCTTACCTATTAAACAAATGTGAACTCAGTCAGATCACCTTCTGAACATTGTCCCTGAGGCACCGAGAGTACCCCTGGGGATCCCTGAGACTTGAGGAGCCAAGCACAAGCAGGTCTTTCTGTGCCCCAGCCCACACTCCTGGACTCTCCACTCCTTTCTTGATTTATTTGGTTATTTCATCTGCACAAGTATTGTCTCTACAGACCCAAGAAGCCTGGGAATTCCAGAATTTATTAAGGAAACGCAATGACAGCATGTTACCAGGCCAGCATTTCTCAGGTGACAGGTGATAGGTGATGCCCCAGAATGTTTCCATGGAAAAATCCTCATAACAATAAGGACAGCTGCCCGAGACACCAAGCAAGGCTTGAACAAAGAACTCACGGGTGCACAAACAGGATGAATAATTGGGGGGGGAGGGAAGGGCGCCTGTCAAACAGTTCTGTTTATGCTTACATTTGGCAGCAGCCAGCCGAATTCTTGCTTGTTGATCCCCACTAAGAAAGGGACAGTGTTGACACTCTTCTCAGCCAGAATCTCTTCTGGGGCCTTGGGCAGCAGCACTCCGTCAAGCACAGTTGGCGTAAAGGGGTAGTGCTGGGGAGGAGAGCAGCACTGTGTTAGAGATCACCCGCGTCTCCTGCTCTGCCTGACCAAGGGGGCGGCTGGAACACAGACCCCCATGGCTGCAGACAGTGGCCACAGAAACACGGGGTCAGTAGAAGGGAGCGAACGGTCCAGAGTCACAAAGGCCTGATTAGGCGCATCTGTCTATGGCAAGGTTATGATGGCAAAGAAGGGGTAGGAGCATCCTTAACGCAAATTAAACATGTGCCATGTATATTTCAATTGTAGCACATTACCTAGAATTAATCCTCACTATTCCTTACACTATTATAGTGAGGTATTCCTCACTATATCTTGGGTCTGTGAGGTTGTCATGAATGTTGAATGTAGACGAATTTCTAAACAGTCTTATTAAATAAGAAACACAGAGACAAATACAGAGTTAAAAGCCCGAGATCAGAGCACTAGCAAAGAACCAAGACCACTTTATCTTTCCACTCACTGTCGTCACTTCCCCTGAGAGAGTGTTTCTTCCCATCTGACTTATTGCCTTTCTGTTCTGCCTTCTCATTGGCTCTAAATCCAACCACACAACTTCCTTGTCACTGCCTGTCTATACAGACCTCCAAGTATCTATGGTTGGTACTGGGATTAAATGTTCCTGTCACCACGCTTGGCTGTGTCCTTGACCACACAGAGACTCTGCCTGTCATTTGATTGGATTAAGGGCATGGGCTACCACTACCTGACTTCTGTTCCTGGCTCGCTAATGACCTCTGATCTCTAGGCAAACTTTATTTATTAACATGCAAATAAAAATTACATTTCAGCACAATTAAAATATCACCACAGTTGAATTAATGACTCCTAAGCCGTTGTTTCAGAGGAAATGCATTCTGAGTCCCTTACCACCATGCTAACACCCACACCCTTATATTATGTGTAAAGTCCTATTTAAAGACACATACATGTTTTGAAAAGAATTAGCTGACATAGGATTTAATAAAACACCAAATGGGCAGGACTTACTATTTCTCCCACCCTGGGTAACATGACACCACATTCTTCAGCTTCACAATCATGCTCTACACTGTGGATTTTTCAAAGTCATCATCCTTGTGTGAAGTTTGAACACATACATCCACAACTTTAGATGGCTCTTTCCCTTTTCCAAAGTTTTATCACATACTGTAGGTACCACGTGACCACTCCCCAGAATGGCCTCATCCTCAGATAGGCAAATGTCCTTCCCCTCTTTTGGATCAGCACTGGCTTCCTGCAGGTCTAATCCCGGGACTGTTTGAGCCATGGGGTAGAACGCCATGGAGTGGGAATTCTGTCCCCAGCTTCCACTTTCTCTCTTGTCTTAAGCATGACCAAGACACAGAACATATTTCAATATTTTTTCTACGCTACCCTCATCCTCCTTTCTATGGTACCCTCATCCTCCAGGATGGAATTCCTTAAGAGGGACAGACGTCTTGTCTGTTTCACTGCTGTATCCCAGCTCAAAATCATATCCTACCACAGAGTATTTCTTTAAATTTTGTTAAATGGCTAAAAGAGTCTCATTTTAGCCTCATAGACATTTAAAGGAGATGATGGGATCTTCGGGGAGGGAGTGAAAAGGACAGGTGTGTAGGATGCTGCAAAACTGATTTCGACGGACTCTGATCACTGCTGGGAGGAGCAAGGGCAGGAGGGATGAGATGCAGGGCCCTGGTGGAGTTGCCATGGTGTAAGATACAGTGTGATAGCCCGGATTGACATCTCAGGCTCCTCCCTGCATTACCTCCTGAGCCCTATGTCATCTCCAGAGGTTTGTGCTCAGCAACGGCTCCCAAGACCCTTGGCCAGCAATCTCAAACTTCTGGTAGTGGGAAGTTCTCGTGTCATTTATTTTCATAGGACCACTTTTTAAGCAAGAAATGCAAAGAAGAAAAGGATAAAATATTAAAGATTTGGAGCACTGAACTGGCAGTCAGGAAGCAGGGCCAGCCATGCCTCTGGTTTCCTTGGCTGTGCTAACTATCGAGTGACGTTGCTGCTCTAGGCCTCAACAGCACAGACAAGAAATGAGTATGAGTCCACCAAGGGGAATTCCACCGGCTGTAGTTAATTGAAGACTAACACTGTAAGGCTGCAAACCTTAAAACATCCTTACCTTTTTGGTGTCTCCTTGCAAATCAAGCTTAAAGAAGTTCTGTGGAAACAAAGGCACATTGTGGTGGTCAGCCTTCCTGGTATACAGTCTGATCATTTGGGCCGTGCTCCTAGTGCCCCCCTTGGCTGATGTATGAGAACCCTATACGGGGTTCTCTCTGCAGGGTACAGGTGGAGCATGATGAGGGAAGGGCAGCAGCAGGAAGTCAACATGTCCTGGGACCTAGAGTCGGGGTCACTGGAGCTCTGGGGAGAATGACTGCTTGCCTGCACCTGTATCCTCCCACAACCATGCCCCTGCCAGTTCCTTCTTGGCTAGAACACCCCAATTTCCCTGTGGAACAAAAGTGGAGAGGATGTGGCAGCATCAAGGGGAGGTTGAGCTGGGTATGTGAACTAGCAGGATGGGATGAGCCTTCTCTTCCCTCCCACTCCCCTACTTTAAGTTGGGACATCTGGATATGAGATGGGGTCACCATATTCCCGAACACAGCCAATACTTAGAAATGAATACACAACAGTTTCAGTTCAACAAAGTTTAAACTAAAACTATTGCTGAAATGTTGGTGTTAGACAGTGTCTTAGCAAATAGCGTGTAAGTGTAGGGTGCTACTGACTTTTATCTTCCCAGGAGACAAGAAAGCTTCAGAGGGAAGCCATAGAATGGAAAGCTTAGGTACAGATTCTCAGTAATATATTCTCAGAGCACTCAGACCCAGCCACATACTAAGACATTAGTTACTTAAGGATTCTGTTTCAACCAATACCTTTTCCTGGTCAAGGCTTCAAAACAAAGTGTGCACTAACAACAAAAAACTGTGACTCCTAGAAGCTCACTGACACTCATTTTCAGCATTTGCATGCACACATGCTCATGCACACATGCACGCACATACACACACACTCATACCACACACACAGCACACACTCACACCCACACACAGCACACATGCATCAACAAGAAAAGAGAGGTCAAGAATTTGAGAGAAAGCAAGAGGAGGGGCATGAGGGAGGAAAGGAAAGGGAGAAATTACATAATTGTATTTTAATTGCAAAAACTAAAAAACTATTTTAAAAAGGAAAGCACAAAATTTGCAGTTGGCATCATTGACTGATACTGCTCCCAATAGATAAAAAACAAACAAATAAATAAATAATTTTAAAAAGCCTGCATCTGGCACTTTAGAGTCATATGACAGAAGACTGAAGGAAACCTGGGTCCAAGTCTATAGAGGACGTTCACTAGACCACACACCCACCACTTTTTGCATGACCTCCAAGAGTTCGTCCTCCGACTTCTGGCGCAGGCAGTGAACAATGACAGCCGATGTGGTGGTTTTGCACCCAGCAATAGCAGCAACTTTCTGTAAGAGATGTCAGGCAACCACAGAGGTCAAGAGCAACATCAGTACCCACCATTGGTGTAGACAGTGGGGTCTATCCTCAGCCCCATCTCTAGAGACAGGAAAGTGTTCCTGAAAACACTCTAGAGCAGCCAGTGTGGTTTCTGGGACCCATGGATTTTTTTTTTCTGTTTCAATTATAATTGTGACATCAGATATTGATGTTTCACATATCTTATTCTGTATCCTTATAACTTTAAAAATGAATAAAATGTCAAAGTATCTCAAGAGAAGCCTGGTACAGACAAGTGAGGAGCAAGAATCCATGATTCCACTGTTAAGTTCTGATCCATTCACTTGCTTATCAATCATTTGGCTTCTGCTTCCAGCACACAATGTATGAGAACTAATATAGGTGGCATGCACCCTGTCTCAACACTCAAGCTGTGCAGAATGGCAAGGCATCTGGATAGCATGATTCAGGTCAGGCACCAGCAGAGTGTGGCTTAGACGAGGCCCTAAAAGCCCTTCCTGTTCAGCCATTCTTACTCAGGAATCTCTTGAGTTGAATCTTATAAGCAGAAGGACACCCCCACCAGAGTCCCAGGAAATCAGAGGAAAGGACACAGGAGTTGTCCAGGGTGGTATTACTTCAGTCAGTGAAGTGGAATTCTCCATAAATAAACCGGAAGTGAAGACCACACCACTCTCAGAAATGGCTCTGTGGAAGAGGTTCTTGGCCAGAGGAGACAACACCTGTTAGGAAGGAGGAGAGGAGGGGAGAATTTATACACACCAAAGGGCCAGCTTACCCTTTTTATAATAATTTTTGGGATCATAGTTTCCCCCTTCCCTTTCCTCCCTCTAACTGTTCCCGTACACCTACCCCCTTGCTGAACTCTCACATTCATGGCTTCTATTTCTTTCCTTATTGCCACTTAAGTCTCCTTCTACACTCTCCCCTACCCCACCCATTCACCTAGGGACTTTGGTGCTCTGTGGAAATGCGGGAGCCTCATCTTTCCTGACCTTTTTCTGAGATCTTGGATCTGAGATCTTCCACAAAACCTCAGTGTAGTGGAACCAGAATACACACAAAGAAACAAAACAGGAAGTGTATGGTAAGTGCCATCATGATGATCAAAACTACCTAAAAGAGAGTTCTGGCAATTCCTTGCCACAAATTCTGCAATGGAATATTTATTACTCAGAACTTACCCTAATAAAGGGGGTCATCATAAAAAAGGGTTGAGGATATAGCTTATGGAGCAACTAACAGGAAAGTGAAAGAGAGAGGAGTAGAGAAGAGGAAAGGGGGAGGGGAAGTGTGAAATGATCAGAAGTACAGAAGATGTTTAATTATAGTGGAAAAATTGGAATATTTCAATATCCATATATTAGGATATTGGGTAAATAAGCAATTTCTCAGTTTTGATGTGGAATGGTGTGCACTTATAAATCATAGTGTTACGTAAGAATGTTTAATGTTTAGGGAAATATTTGTATAACCCTACATTATTAAGGAAAGTTTCACTGTAAAAAAGGAATATAATTAGATTATATGAAGTCAGAGAATGGATAGAGACATAAAGAGATGATGAGTGATAGATTGATAGATTATAGATAGATGCATAGAACAATGGACATATGATAAATAGATATCTATATAACATATATGCATTGGTTTTAAGATGATCAATAGATGCAGATAGATCATAGATTGGTAGTTTTATGGACTGATTGAGAGGGAGTATGGAGAGAGAATGGCGATAGATATGGTTCCTCAACTGTGAATTAGCACTTAGTAGTGTTTTTATGGTCCACAAAAATTCTCTATTTCTAAGCTTCTCTTTGGGTTTCCCTAAGTTCCATCCCCAACATTAGCAAAATATATCTCCATGCATTTGTGTCCCAAATACCCTGCTAGGGTTTGCCCATCTCACTTCTACCTGTTCCTCTTCTCACCCACCTCCAAGCAAAATTCATCCCCTGCTCCAGAGTCAGCTGCCCTCCCTCTTGGTTATTGACAAGTCACAAGAACACTTCAGAGTTCCCTGATGGCCATTAGCACTCAAGGCCATAGCATGTAGATCTGCCTTGGAGCCTAGAAACTACTTCTTCCTGTTTGTGGTTCATACTCAACTCTATTTCCAATAAGAAGTGGTGAGTCTTGATGCTAAATGATTAACAAAGGGGGGAAATTAACCAAGCGAGAAGACTAGGATTGTCCATGTCCCAAACTGTAACTGGACATGCTTATGATTCTAGAAAACAAAGTTGGACACTGAACTTTCTAGAAGCCAGAGTTAGTTTGTTTCTTAGCTCCTCCCCATCTAGTATTCTGCAAGAATTCCTGAACTCCTGTATTGAAAATAAAGATATCTGTGGCCCTTGAAGATAGCTGGTCTCCAAGAGGTCCCATCATCAAATTTACCAAAACTAGGCAGGGATTGCCAGGGACACTTACAAGAACAGAGACACTTTCACTTCCTGCTGACTCTCCAAAGATGGTCACAGAACCTGGGTCCCCTCCAAAATTGGCAATGTTGTCCTGGACCCAGTGCAGTGCAGCCACCTGGTCCAAGTGACCCCAGTTCCCCCGGCTGTGTTCATCCCCTGTGCTGCAAGAAAATATTAGGGGGCATAAATAGAATAGCAAGGCTCCCAGGTCCTCGGGTGGACTTAGGGGACCTTCCAGAACTAGGCTATGCTTTAATGCCTGACCAGAGGACTTCACCTGCCTCTCATCCCTACATTGATCTTTGTGGGGCTCTCACTATTTCTTTTAGCAACTATGTACTAAGTACCCATCATCCATCCAGCTGTGCTTCTAGGATACAAAAGATAAAACCTGACTACATTAATTTTACACTGCAGACCACAAACCAACAGATTCAAAGGGTGTATCATGCCACTAGAAAAAGAAAGTCACAAAGAAAGAGGCAAAGATAAAATCATGAGGCAGTACTGAGGTCAAGGAAGGCCTCATTGAGATAATGGCATTTGGTATAGACCTAAATAAAATTAATCTGGGTCTTATTAGCACCTAGAACAGCTGTTCTCAACCTGCGGGTCATAACCCCTTTGGCAGTCGCACATCAGACATTTACATTATGATTCATAACAGTAGCAAAATTACAGTTAAGAAGTAGCAATGAAATAATTGTATAGCTGGGGGGTCACCACAGCATGGGGAACTGTATTAAAGGGTCACAGCATTAGGAAGGTTGAGAACCACTGGTCTAGAGGATGAAATTTACATTAGGAGAAGCATTAGGTACATAGCAGGTGGCTGCTATGAATTTTAGGTAGAACAGGGACTGGGAGATTTAGTAAGAGTCTCTGTTGTTGTTATAAATAATGGTGAACATTGTGCAGAGGCCTGACTTGACTCAGGCATCTCCCAGAGCATCCTGGACACTCCGTGGAGCGCTCTCCTAGTAAATTAACAGGTTTATAAAAACTAAGGGGTTATAACAGGCTAGAGGCTTAGAGCTTTGATTAGTAAATGAAGATATGGATGTTGGATGTGAGCTGGGAGAAAAAGAGGAGACCAAAAGCCCACAAGGCCTTTGTCCAGAGCACTCAGGAAACAGACAAGGTCTTTGTTGTAGGGAACAATTAGTTGGTGACAAAGACCTTGTGATGTGGGATGTGCCCTGCACACAGCCAGAGGAGGGATGAGGTGTTAGCTAAATAGGAGCACCTGGGGTTCAAAGGTGAAGACTACAAACAGGGAACTGTGTTAGTACTTCTGGGGTCGCTCAGGGCATTAGTAGAGAGGAAGACACATGTAGCCTGAAGACAAAGAGTGGAAGAACTAAGAAGGAGCCACTGAGGAGGAGGGAAGTGGCCAAAGTCAGGAATGGGAGCCTCTCAAAAGGGCCAGAAGAGATTGTCTATGGCTGGTGTAGTGAGCCACATGAGCTTGGGATGAGCACTGGTGGAGGTCATGGTTGGCCTTGAGAACAGCCTGGCAGGGCCGTTAGTTAAAAACTGGCCTGTAGCACCACTAACTGAGCTCCCTACACGGGTCCCCTCCTTCCCCGGTTTCCTGGGAGAAGAAGTCAAACATCCCAGGGCAATGCTGGTGCTGATCCTGTCATAGAGGAGGCGGGGAGCTGAGGGGCACAGGTGAAAATGGATGAGTCCTTAAGTGGCAGCAACGTGAAGAGCGGCCCTCACAAGGCAAGCGTGAGTTCGGTGGGTAGGGTAAACATCCTGAAAGGGGGCTCAGAAGGAAGCGGGCAGCTGTGGTTGTGGAATGAAGGGGGATATGGTCCGAGAAAGACGGACCTGGAAACATCATGAAGAAACATAGCAAATATCCTCATGAAGAATGACATCACTAATGCCTGTTTGACTTTGCAGATTCCATGGTTTGGATATGATTGATGTGACAAGGGTTCGTGTGCTGGGGCCTTGGTCCCTAAAGAGACACGGCATTATGCAGTGATAGAATCTGTGGAAGGCGAGGCCCAGTGAAAGTAATTAGGTCATTGGGTACACTGTATTCTTTTAGGATCTGTGTGCTCAGGGAAATCAGGTTACATTCTGAGACAGTGAGTTTGTACCTGTGTGAGTATACCTGTGCTTACAGTTTTTTTTTTCTTTAACTTGAACCAAGCTAGAATCACCTGGAAAAAGAGAAGGACAATTGACAAAATGCCTCCATCGGATTAACCTGTAGGCAAGACTGTGGAGACATTGTCTTGATTAATGATGATGGAAGAGTGGTCTCAATGGGTGGTCCTCTGATATATGAAAAGTAAAATCAGTGAGCCTTAAGAGCAAACCAGTAAAGAACATTCCTCCATGGTCTCTGTTTTAGTTCCTTTCTCAAATTCCTGCCCTATCAGCTGTGATTGGGATGTATAAGCCAAATAAGCCCCTTCTTTCTCAAATGCCTCTTGGTTATGATATTTTATCACAGCAATAAAAAAAACTAGGACATTAACCTGTCTCCCTCTCCTCCCCAGCTTATTGCCCTCCCATGTGCTTTGCTCTTTATCCTACAGACTAAATTTCTTTTCCTCCAATAATGCATTATAAGGTAGAACCTTTCATCACCCAACTCTGCTGAAATAGCCGAGTCTATTTGGTGGCTTTGGGCCACCCAGACTCTGAGCTAAATAAATCTGTCTTTATCATCAATCAGTTTCAGGTAAATTCCTATTTTAAAAGAGAGAGAGGGGGAGGGGGAAGAGAGAGAGAAAGAAAGGGAGAGAGACCAATGCAGGTCTAATAAGGCAGATAGGAAGGTCCAAAACCCTACCTGAGGAATCCCCAGATGCCCAGGCGATACTGAATGGCCACCACCACCAGATTTTCATGTGCAGAGAGGGCCAGTCCATCATAGGTGGATGCTCCACCCACTATCAGTCCTCCTCCATGAATCCACACCATCACCTGGACAACAAGGAAAGAACCATTCTAGTCATAACAATAGAATTGACAAGGAGCTCATACATTTCCTGGTTTGGCTTTTTTGGCCAGATCCTGGCTCTGAGGGACCACCACTCAAATTCAAGGAGTGCCAGCCGGTTGTGAAAGGGAGTCTCTGTCCTCATCTTGCCTGGCTAGGCCAGGAGGCCATCACAGTCATCATCTCTACTAATCCCTACAGACCCCACCCTGTTCTGTGTCTATTCAGGTCTTTTCAAAGTAAGAAACATTATCATGGGAAACAAAGGGGCCAGGGAGGTCATGTGCTCTTGACCACTGCACCATTCCAATGCCTGAAAATGATCAAGGAACGGTATTCACATTTTACTTTCAGCTCTATTAATACTAATGTACCTGAGTGATTGTCTCAAGATCCACACACATCTTCAATGGCACCCCTTCCCAATGTTCCCTCTCTCTGTTG